AAAATTTCGCCCAACCACATCCTGTGAAGTGTCTGCCACTGTTTGCCAAAACGATTTAACAGTGCTTAAAGGGTTTACCAACCAGGTTCATTTGTTGTACGAAGGTCGTTTGCAGTTGGCCGGAACTGTTCCCAAACGTCATTTTGTTAGTACGTTTGTCCTACTATTCCTGGAATAGAATGACTGACAAAGTAAAATTCAGCTTTTTGCTTCTTTGCATTCACATAATCTGACGTTTCACATCCCGTGCGTGGTATTACTATCCCACCAAAGATTACCCTCCCTCTCCCCCAGTAAAGTCTTCAGTTTTGTAGCCGTTGCACACTTGGGAACTGTAGTCCTTTTAACTGTCAATCCTCTTGTAGAGTCTAGTCACGTGACAAAGCCTTCCCAACCCTATCGCTAAATTAAATAATTGACGAGTGAAAATCCTGTCAGGAATCTATGACGTCGCATAAAATACTGTTTCCACAAATAAACGATAAAAACATTACAGAATTTTTACATTACAGAATGTTCCACTAAAATATAATTAAGCGTTGACAAAAAATAAAGTAAATTTAAATTCGTATCTAAAAATATAATAACAAAATTTACATCGCAACGCAAAATATTCCCCATTATTACGAGACCTGCACAGATTTCCGTAATATAAATTATAAGTCATATTTCTCCTGGCTATTTTGACTGGAGGTTTTGATCAGGAGCAGCAAGCATCATTATGCAGGTCTCAAAACCATAATAACGTAAACAAAATAATTTTTATAACTACAATATCTAATACTGAAAGACTGAAATTACGAAGGGTGTGTCAAAAAACGGAGTCCTCGTTTCAAAGAGAAATTAGGAAATAATAAAACAGTTATGTTTATATTCTTTTGAAATCGTACATAGGCCACTCAAAAGTTGAAGTATTAGTTGTTTGCGAATAATATTATTCCAAGTGATTGGACATTCAAAAATTTGAGATGTGATAAAATTGATCGAAACAATAATAATATATATATATATATATATTAGTTTCACCCACCTTTAGTATGTTTACTAAACGAAAAAAGAAATTCGTGTATTATTTGAACGCCCACACGCCCACTTTTCGACCGTAAACATTTAAGCAGCCCATTTTTCGAAGTTTTTTAGCCACCTGATAATTCCTCTTGGATGAACAGGTTATTGTACAACCTTTGTGGTAGACAAAGATATAGTTTAAACTCGAATATATATATATATATATATATACCATGGCAAGTATTACTTACAAACTTGACATATATACATCACGACAAGATTGCGCCAACATCTTCATTTCTATTTAAGGCATTGTTATGGCGATGGAAACTTTGAACGTCTACGGTATTTTCTTCTATTATCTTAAAACAAAATTTGAAAATACAGTAAACATCTCTGTATCTTTAAAATGTTTTTAAATTTTCTTCGCTCTTCTACTCTACAAGAATAATGAATAATAAAATCGCATTTGATGGCATGGGAAAGTGACAGGTTCGACTGAATTTTCCCTTACGCTGAAGAGACAATAACGCCTTTTTACAAGGAGAAAAGAAAGTTAAATCAAGGTCAAGTCAATAAGATTTCTTAAAACAACTAAACGTAAAGTTTGGACTCCGTTTTTTATACACCCTGTAGATGGTATAGTAAAGCAAGGAGTTTGAAAACATATTAAAGATACAGCAATAATTCACTAATTAAATTGGGATCCGCCTTTATAAAATCCGTCAGTTGTGAACCTTAAAGCTATATATATATATATATATATATATATATATATATATATATATATATATATATATATATATATATATATATATATATATATATATATATATATCTAAGCGCGCAAAGCATAATGGGAGTACTGATTTCAAGCTTTGTAGTTGAATATTGCAGCTGTTTGTGAGTGAAATGTTTTCCCCGGCACATATTTACCATGTCTCTAAGAAATGGGCTCCATGTATGCTTTCTAAACTGCTTAAATAGTGCTCCCATTA